ATAAATTGCTCTGTTCAAGATGTCAGCATTTTCCTATTGCAAAGAATTTTTCATGTTTTCTGTATAGGATCAAGTGAATTGACTTGATAAGTGATACACCCATATAGAATTAAATAGCACAGACTCTGTTCTGGACAAGCTTCAATCCCAGAAAATGCAAATGGGAGAGTATGAATACTCATTGACACAGAAGGTAAAAGTGTGTGCTAGAGCATGCAACTTTCCCTTGAGAAAACCATCAAACTTCTGCTCAAACCGCTCCATTTTATTACTAGTAATTTTAACACATTCTACCATGAGTGCTCAATTTCAGAAACAAAACAAAAGCCTCTGGAAAAATCTCACTGGTACCTCTAGAACTGGTCTGTCCTCTAGCTAAGATATCATACTGGTTTCATCGTTCAACTTTAACCTTTAAAAAAGGAAAATATAAATAAGATGCTTTTCATGCTGCTGATCAAGAAAAGCATCACAATGGTATGGAGACAACCTTGATTTTAATTGTTTTGTTGTTTGTACAATATCAGTAAATGTTCACTAGGAAACTATTTACACAATCCATCTACAGTCCAATACAACCAACGGTACATATCTAATTAAGCTCATTTTTTCATCCTGAAAATGCAGTCATTGTTGAAAATGGCATCAGTGATTGTTTCTTTTAATGTCTTCTGAGTGGGGAAAAAAAAAAAAAAAAAAAAAAAAACTGAAAAATCTAAATACAGCAAAAGCACTTAGCAGTCAGTGACACATAACCCACAGGTTTTCATGAATCTGCTATTGTTGTTGATGTTCTTACCTAACAGATGCCGGGGAAAAAAACAGAGCTGAGATGGCAAAGATAAATTTAAGTAAAAAAAATCAACTGGCCAAACTTTTTACTGACACAGTTATTCATAACACTGTAATTTATTTTACTTTGTTAATTATTCCAACGTATTCATGTTATCTGCCTCTATTATACATTCCTGAAGATAAACAACTTTTTGAAAGACATCTTTGAAATTAATTGCTTTTGCTCATAACCCTCTTTCAATTCTAGTGGTATAATATTTATTATATTTCAGGAGTACAATAATGTATGTTTCATGATATGAGCAAAAAAAGGAATGGATTTCTGAAGGTCACACATACAAAAGCTTGGGAGGAGATTAAAGTCATGCTGCTGATATTTTGTTGGTTCTTAAGCTTAATCCTCTACAAACATTTAATTAATAATACTTTCAATGTGTTGTGAGCATGCTGCACATAGATTACTGCGGAAAATGACTATTTAAAAGAGGAGAGTTGAAATCAAAGTGAAATCCAACTAACCCCACCAGGGCTGTTATGTTTGAAATTCGAGACACTATCTTTAGTGGTACACAGACTGACCTGGGGAATACGCGTTTATTCTCTTTGAGTTCAACCGACAGAAAGAGCTGTAGTACAAATTAATATTAATTCATGCTGTTATAATTTATGATAAAAATATGGATAACATACCAATATATTTTCAGTAAGCTACTTAAAGCAAAATGACTGAACTTGCTACATTACAGCTGAGCAGATCCTTAGGAACATAGCTACCCATTTCCTACTGAAATTCCCTGTAGAATTGTAATATCTGTAAACTAGTTGCTAATGTCACTGCATGAGATCCAAACTGTGTACCCATGGCATCAGAACCTGTAAGGTACAGAGGACCACTACCTGCTTGGCCAGACTATTGAGAAACATAGTTTAAAGGAGCTCTCCCTCTAGTTCTAAGACACAAACTGAATTAAAAATGATCTCCGTGAATGATATTTTGCAGTTATGCATAATTTTGGCAAATAACCCTCACAATTTGGCTGACAGTAACCATTCCATACCAGTAGATGCTACTTCTGTCACTAGGTTTGTAGCTTTATTTTACCAGCTGTGTTTATCAGCATCCTTCAATATCCGAACATTTTCTCTGCATTTCAGCTGGTTACTGAAAATAATCCCCCATCAAGATGTGGAGAGTCTCAGGCCTGGAACAAATTATTCTCACAGACACTTGACCAAAGCAATCAGTTTTTATACGAGTGCTGTAACTTAATTTTGTCAAATATTTAATTATCTGATTTGCATTCTGTAGACCAGAGGTTGCAAATAGTTGCTGGAGCAGAGTGTTGGTTTGTGCCATGTACTCTACTGCCTAATTAGAAACTGTTTTATTATTGGGTTCATGTGCTCTTTGGGATATCTGTTCTATCACAGACATTTCATTGGCTTCTATTTCACATACATTTTATATTTATATGCAAATATATATACATGAATAACTGTTGACAAACAATACTGTTTAAAACAAATGGCACAAATTCCTCTCATAAGAAAAACATTTTTTTCTGTAACCTAATATGAAATACTGTGATGTAAAATTTCTACAGAAGTAAACATAACTACTTAGTTTCAAAGCAGTTTATATATTAAAAAGTTATACTTGGCCTACAGACTGAGATTTAAAATGCAGAAGCTACTACATTACTCTGGAGTACAATGAATGAGCATTACTAGGCTCTGTTGTCAGTTTAAGTGTCTGTATATCTTGGATGTACCACATGGAAGGGAGATTGTTCTGGCTATTACCTGTGGAGGCAGGAAACCTGACCCATCAACTGGAAATAACCGTAATTGTGATCCACCTTGGCAGTCAGCCTGAAGCCATATATTGTACCTCTGTGTCCACTCCCACAGATGCCATAGAGTTTTGTCAATACAGACAAGAAAGGAAGAATGAGACTATAAAATTAGAGTCAGTCTGAGAAGGGTACTTATAAATAAATGACACGCTCAGTCCCTTATGCATGGCTATAAGCCAATAATCAGCACTTGGGTGTAAACTGAGTGCAAATTCACGTTCTCTAGTTACACTTCCTTATGCTTATTTGCTTACACACTTAGCTACTTCATTACCTCCTGAAGATGACTGTCTTTCACAAAGACAGCTTAAAAGGCAAAAACATTTAAAACAGTGAAGAGGTACTGCTACTTGGTATTACTACTAACTTGAGTCAGTTCTGTTCATTACTTATTCATTTTTTGCAACTCAACTCATTCAAACTGCATGAAAGCGTTAGAAACATTGATGAAGAGACTTCTCTGGTAGAAGGGAATGTCAGAGAGAAAGACCTCCCTTCCTCTGGTTTCACACCAGTTCAAGCACATATCAAAAGGAGAATGGAAACCATTGATCTTTGGAAAAACATTACTGCAGCACAAGAACATAAGAAACAGTTGCAAGTGACATTAAATAATATTGAAAAACTGTGAAAAGGCAAGGATCCAGAAATAAAGAGTATGCTGCTTCCCTGCGTCAGCCTAATTTATTCTTAAAAAATAAAAAAGTAAAAAATAGTATGATAGCAATTCCCTGATGGTACGTGGGACCTGGCATTTCTGTGCTTCTTTATTGGAGCCCACTGATAACCAAATACACACACACAGATATTTATCTCTCCATTTTAACACTATCTATTTTTCTACAGAAACATAACTTATTTATTAATTCCATAGAGAAATGCCTTAATTCTTTAAGGACTCCCTAAGAGAGTATTAATTTAAATAAAAAGTCTTTTGTGCCTCTCAAGCAACATAATTTTTAGGGTTTTTTTTGGTTTTGTTGTTCAAGTTTTTAACAAATAAATATACTGATGAAAAACAACCAGAAAAATCACAACTCATAATAGGGCAGGCAGATACTGTGCAAAGGGAGGCTAAATATATTAAAATTAGCTGTAGCAACAATAAAACTAAAAATGCTTTAATCTTTCCCAGTATTATAATTACAATACACACTTTATCCAAATTGAGAAGTTTATCTTGAAGGAGTCTGAGTATATGCTACAGAAGTCTAGGTATTTGTTATATTCTGATTCTTCAGAACAAATGCAAACTGTTCACAAAAACAGCTAAAGCCAAGTACATAACACTTCTCAGGTTCTACCAATTCAGCTGGAAGAACAAGTACGCAAACGGGTCATTTTTGTTAAGATGAAGCTGTGGGGAGAAAAAATAAATAAATAAATAAATAAATAAACAGTAAAGCATGACCTCTCCATTGCACAGTCAAGAATCCATGCAGACTACTGTACAAGAACCTCTAAGTTGATGCACAAATGATACTACTCTTAAAAGATAAATTTGTCTTTGATGGACACCTGTTTAACTCCAGTGAAGTTACACATTCTTAGACAAAGCTGTCCCAGTGATGTCAGTGCAAATAACAGTGAAGAACAACTCATTAACTACTATTAACTACTGCTGTTAGTTTAGAGAAGTAAAAAAGGATAATGGAACTGTCAGATGATAATATGTTTGGCATTTAAGTAGTCAACTGAACTGTAGATTAATAGCAGCACAAAAACACTTTAGGGCTCACTGCAGCTCTGAAGTTTGCAGGAGAAAAAAAAAAAAAAAAAGAATAGTTAATTATATCATTTGTAAAAAACACTAAGTAATAAAGTAACCCAAATTTTATCAGTATGAACTTTTAAGAGCTAATTTCTTCCTGCTTACCTAAATTCTACAGTAATTCCAAAGAAACTGAATTACTCTTCACTTGCATTGCTCTTTATCAAAGGACAAATTGGTTTCTAACTTGTGATCTCATCCTTCAACAACTCAAAAACATATGAGGATGTTACCACACTTAAGTCAGATGTCATGGATACAAACCAGTAAAGTTTCTTCTTCATCAATATTCTTCAGTAAAGCAATTGACTGAATGAACTCTTTGATGGTGTCATTCTTGTAAGAGGTACATTCAACACAGCAACAATCTCTCAAGACTAATAGGCACTTGCCATTCATCATTCTGGGCTCCTCAACACCTAAAAGCTTTTCTTCTTCCGGCTTGATCAAAACCACTTACAATTATTTATTTATTCACGCAAACACAGCCTCCACAGCCCTCTGTGGCAGCATCTTTGCCCACTCTGACTTCTTTACCAGTCCAGATTCACCCTCAACACACACATACGCACACTCACCCCTTTTCTCTTTGGCACTCTTCCTATTCACACCTTCTTTATTTGCTCCAAATTCATCAGTCCCATCCAACTCAGTTTCATCCAACTGCTTTTCACATCTCTTGTCACCATCCCCACGTCACCACAAAACTGACCTTTGCCTGCACTATTGAGAAGCCCTGATCCAGTACTCAGCTTCCCAAATTTTGAACTTTTAACTAGTCTTCAATTTCACAAGGTCTAGACCAGAATCACTCTACTTCATGTAAGAATCTCTCTGCCCAAGAAGTATGAAGCCAGGCATCAGGATAGAAATTCACCCTAACAGAAAGCAGGTGAAGTTATAGATACCAGCTGGCTCTGTAAGTCTTGCATTCCTTTTTTCATTCTATGTTCTTAAATTTAGTCTTTGACCTCTATAATTTCTTTCTCACATGGACACAAAATCAGCCAAACAGCTTTATGTTCTACTTGATTAAATAAAGATAATAAATTACTTGTAATCTAAGCAAACTGCAGAAAGTTGACACAGCTTCCCTTTTTAGCAGTGTTCATGCTACATGTGAAATTATGCATCTTACACTTTCCCAGTGACAATGCTGGAAAGGAAACTTAATTTGCATTATTGTTTTCATAAATGCGTATGCAGATATTTAGACATTGATCAAACCTAGTGCTGTACAACAGATGTTGTAAAGAATGAAAGCCAAAACCCTGAAACTCCTGCATTCCTAATGAACAAGCTGTTCCTTTTTTATTGTCTTAGTTATGGTATATTGCTAGATTCAGATAGCTCTGATAAATGTAATAATACAGAGATCTGTGTAATAGTTAAACACTGAGCAGGTGTACCTAATTAATGTCAGATACAGAAAGATGGTCCCTTGGAGACTAGAGATTTATATAGCTGAATGTTTTACATATTCAATACTGAAGCAAGCTCGATGCCATGACTCTAGGCCAAAACAAAGCCAAAGTTCACAGCTAGACTCTACAACATAACCAGCAATCAACTATTTTAAAATGTAAAGCAGAACATTTGCTTTAAAACTACCATGAGACATAAGCTAACATTTAAGTGCTTCTGAAGCTTGAGTCAGAATCATTTTTTCCCCCCTCAAAGTTTCTCCCAGAAAAAGGTAATAATATTACTGTAAGAGTAAGAAATGTAGTACTTTTGTTAGACAAGGAGATAGAACCTCTCCTCAGGCTCATTTGTACACCAGTTCATTGGGAGAGGCCAATAGGAGCTTTTGCCTCTCATTAGTGCTAACTGGTATAGCCTGCAATTCCACATCATGTGGTATAGGCTTGAGCTCATGGTTGTATACTCCACTCCACTGTACTCCACTCCTACACAGAGGCTGTGGGTCTTAGTATATGTGTACTTACTTCTTCTTCTTCCCACTTAAATGAAACATTTAAGTAAACATTTCATTAGTAAATGAAACATTAGAACAAATTGTGCTCAGGCAGCATGACCATTCCTCCTAATGGGGACTAGAATATGCTGGTCTTATTCTCTAAATTTTCTCATATGCTTAAGTAGGATGACTTCTGTATAAAGTGAATAGATATGATTATGTTTTAATAAAAATGTCTTCATATGTCATATTTCATCCCAATTTCTCACTCAATAGCTCTTTCATAATAAAATTCTCTCATCTTTTCAAACAACAAACTCTCTACTGTATTTCACTTTAAAAATAACATTTCCCCTGAAAACAAATATCAGCTACTGCAAAAAAAAAACTTGATCCTTGTATTAAAAATATTCTTGATTTATTTTTGCTTACAATTTTCCAGCTTCTTACTGAACTGCCTCTTCTATTTGTGGACAGCAACCTAAGTCCCATTGGACTGAGTGTTTCAGCAAGACATAAGTCAGAAAGAACTTCCATGGACAATTTGTACAAAGAAGTATCAGGATATATCCATATATTCTCCATTGAAGCAAGTGGGACACAATAGAAAGGGAATGAGAGCAGGTGTTGTGTACCACTTAATATGATACCGAGTGCTAAGGAACCTGTGAAAAGGTGGTATTAATCTGCAGCTGCTGCCCATCAAGTTACCACTTGCCTAGTGTTAGAGGGGGAATAGAGGATTCTGATGTACCTCAATGCAATTCTTCCCCTTCCCTATCTCAGGATATGACTTTTGACATAATCTAACTCTTAATATGTACTGAATTAATATTGCTTGTATTTTAATGTGAGCATCCTTAAGTACTCCTGTAAATATTAGAATATTCACTGTACACATGCTCTAAAGTCTGACCTCTTCAAGAAGGAAAAAGGGGAGGTTAGATTCCAAATATAGAAAGTGTTTGTCTTATAAATTCTTAATAAGAAAGGTTGCATTGAAGTTTTTCGCTTGGATGCATATGCATCCAGTATGGCTATTTCAAGACACACGGCAATGTGAATCACATGTCCAACTTCAGAAGTGGACTGCAAGAGTGAAATGTGATTGATTGGTAATACACCATGAAACAGCAATTTGCTCTCTGCATATGGTTATGAAAGTTACATTAATGGCAAATCAACCAATTTAAGAAAGATGCCAGAATCACCTTTAAATTCTGGATGCACTGTAGTCCTGTCCCAGCCTCTCCTGCTCTGCTTTGCTGTTTGTATGAGCAGCTAATGCAGTTAACATAACATTCGTACAAGAGTGCTTGCTCTGTGGCAATCTGGGAACCTAAACTTTGTAATTATTTTCTGTTCACTGTAAGTCTAGGAACATTTTGAGTGTATTGCCATCAGACGATCTTTTTAATACACATCAAGAAACACGCAGCTTTGAAGTGAGAAGGAAGTAGAAGCAGCCCAGCTAAAGGAAGAAAACTAGCAGAACTAAGTATAAGAGGAAGAAGAAACCATGAGGAAAAGCAGTGGATAAGAGAAAGAAAAAAATAAATAAATAACAGGCAAAAGAGAATGACCTGGATGTGCCATTAAACAAAGAAAATGATGGAGGGAATTTTTTTTTATTTTTTTTTTTTTTTGGTCAATACTATTCAGAACAAAAAGAGTAGCTAGCAGTATCATGAAGTAAAAAATGCAAGTCTTCCTCCTACTGCTGGTATCACCACCCAGCCATGGATGTGGAAACTATGGCGTGTTGATATATTCAGCAATTTGGAACTATCAATTAAATCAAAATCTGATAAATACAGGGTGAGATTTGCAAAAGTGTTAATCAGAAGACACAGTAACTTTAGTGGGGATTTTACTACTTGTGTTCAGAGCAATTTAGATAAATGCAGAGATTTTCTGAAGGTCATACATATAGAGTTTAACTGGTAGCGCAGTTATACTCATGTAAACCAGACATCCACCCAAGAAAGCTAAAGGACATTAGATCAGATTCAGACCCTTATGGCTTTGACTCCTGCTCCTTATGCAAGATTCATTTGGTAATGGAATCCATGGTACATTGGGAACTTAGGAGGTTATCTGATATACCCCATAACTGGTAGGCAGAATCATATGTATAAACCGTCGTTAATCTGTGTTTTTCAAATCTGTTCTTAAATACTTCAGTCAGGCTTTCTCTGAGACCTGCTCCATGATTATGTATCTTAGACAGCAATTGCCACTAAATATTTCATCTCATAAGAGCATGGCCTCTGATAATTCCCACCTAAATACAGAGGGGTTTATGTATTGTTGCTGAATTGTATTTTAAATACTTCAAAACTTTGTCCAAGATACTTTATAATGCTAGTGTTATCAGCTAATTCTAATAAGAAAATAAGAATCTGAGATTCATTTCTCCATAGGAACTGTAATGAAATACTCTATTCCATCATTCATGTTATTAATAAAACTATGAACAATAATGGACAAAGGATAAACCTCCTGTGAACACCACTTGGCATATTTTTCCATTTTCTTGGGAACCTTTGATACTTATGTTGAGTATGACTTCCCAGAAGATTATGTATTCATGTGGCAGTAATTTAATCTACATCATCTTGTACTCATTTGCTTAAGAGAATGTAATCTGAGACAGCGTCAAAAGCTCTATTAAAGTGCACGTGACACTTACTGCTTCTAATCTATTCAAGAAATCCTGCCAGAGAGAAAATTAGGTTGCTTTAATATCATTTATCTTGAAAACTCTATGTTTGTTCTTTCTTAAGAAAGTCACTGAATTACCAGTTAGGTAACTACAAATAAATTAGTTGATTATTTGTCCTTTTACTTTTCTGAGAGTTTTAAATTGGTATGACCTGTGTATAATGACCTTTTTATAATTTTATTCTGAAGACAGACATATTTACCTTCCATAAATCTCATCTCTTCTTCTTGAGTCCACAAAGACACCAAACCTTTAATATTGCATTGGTATTATATTTCCAAAACATGAAGAGCTTAGGTACAGCTATATGAATAGCAAAAGACATGAGCTGTCACTCTTTGGCATAAAAGCATATTTGTCAGTACATATCACAACTCAATGAGCCCCTTTTAAATGTTCACTTTTATATTTCAGAAGACCTGATAGGTAGGATAGTTATTTTTATGTTGAGGATATATAAGTTGCTCATTTCTAATCTTTAGTGCTATACAATGAAAGTGTCATACATAAAACAATTCTGTCTAACGATGTTTTACTCTGAGTATATACTACAGAATGACTGACAAGCAGAATCTTCCTCAGTACACCTCAATACAAAAGTGGGTTTTAATCTTCTTTGCAAGTCAGCATGTAGCTATTAGCCAATTCACATAGCCTTTTCAGAAAACATGGAAAAGAAGTGTTCCATGTTAAAGTCTCTCCACATCTTTGAATTCTCACTCTTCTATTTCTAAAACTGTTTCTACAATAAGCTGTAAATCAAAACACACTAACTCAAACTGGTGGGCTATAGCCACTTGCCAGGTTTTGGCGCTAAAGAGAACTGTGGGCCATTTCACTGCAAGCCCTGGATCCAACAGAACATTTGCTACTGCAAGGGTAAGTGCCAGATTCCCAATTCTTCTTCCATGCCTTTTTGTATTTTGTACTAGACAAACAATTTGCCTAAAACTTAATAAAATGGCTTTTTTCTCCCTTGGCTGGTAGATCGAACTCTGAAACTGCATTGCTCTTAATTTCAATTAAACAAATAAGAGCAACAACCATGAGCACAAAAGTACTGCTAGCATTTTATAAAAGATTATCTTACACGGCTTTTTGTGGGAACACAACAAAAGAGTGTGGCTATTTTCTCTCAATGAAATAACTTTGATCAAGAAAGTCAATGAATTATTTATAATTGCAAAATCCTGTGCATTTTATAA